ACCACGCCGTGAACCCAAAACTCAGGAGGGCCCGCGACATAGAAGACTGAAATCTAACTTCTAAACCCGAAACCAACCTGGAACCTACACTTCGCCACCCTGAACAGCCTAAACCCCAAACTCTTAACCCTACATCCCCAAAACCCTAAACTCGAATCAGCCTGAACCCCCCAAACCTTACACCCCGCCTTGCTCCCCCACCCCCCAAGATCTTGGGGTTTGGCGTGTAACGTTTCAGCTTGAGATCTTTGTTTCAGGGTTTGGGGCTTCCGTTTTTTGGGGATTACAGCTCATAGGGTTGAAGGATTCCGGTTGCAGCTTTCCTTATCCCCAAGCCCAAGCCCGAAAGACCCTAAGCCCCAAAGCACTGAACCCTAAAACCGCATATGCGCATATTCAGGACGCGGGGCTTCGGGTTTGAGTTGAGGGTTTGGGTTTGAAGGTACAGGGCTTAAGATTGGGTGTTGCGGGTTTAGGGCTTTCGTGGTCATGCAGGCATACCCTCTGTCACTTCTGCGCTCATCGAGGAGGCAACAACAGCGGAAACTGGACAGTCTGCAGGCCCACTCCAAACTCTGGTTGAAGCGTCTTCCGAACGTCAACGTCTGCAGGCGGCTTATCCTTTCTAAGCTCTTGAAGTCACCTCCAAACGTACGTCGGCGGGGTGCTGGGCAGCGGGAGCCACGCCAAGCTCTCGTCGAAAGCGCCGCCCAATTGGCAGCGCACTCCGACATCCTCCTGGTGCGAGCAATTGTGAGAGCCCCATCCTGCACTTCAGCTTCAAGAAGTGGCAGAGGGATGTCAAGGATGTTGCACAGCTGCACAGCAGTCTGTGCGCATCAAATTCATGACTGAGTTGAAACTTGAAATCCCACATTTCTCATCTTCCCGTCTCTTAGAAATTGAGTCAACACAACTTGACGGATCATGACAGTAACCCTTGTTCTTTACAACTACTATCAACTCTAATGATGCTTTGGCTTTGGGGCCTTGGCGGGTCCGCAGTGCCCGGCAGCTGAGTCTCAAACGTCCACAAGTCCTTGAAGTGCCTTTCAAACGTTAACGTCTGCAGTCTGCTCCAAGCTCTGCTGCCTGGAGCCTCATCTCTGCTTTCACCAAACGGTGTTCGAGAGCGAGGATCAGAGCGTTCTCAACTGTTGTGTGATTCAGAGTAACCGGTGGTCTGGCACGGAGGTGACCTTCCGTAGACCTCACCGGATAGGACATCCAAAGCTCACCGCGATCGACTGACGGAGCGCCAGGATCAAGAGCGGAGGCCAACGTTGCTTCTGTCAACGTGGAACCCAAAAGCCAGAGGTCAGAACGAGGGACTCTGCGGGGGGGAGGGGGGGGGGCCGACTCTAGCTGTTACTGCTTCCACAACTTCCCAGCCCTTTGCCATAGAATCTACATCGACCTGAACGGCGTAGCCTCCGACCGCGGATGCTGAAGGGTCGCTTGCCGGCCACACTTCCAGAGTGTGAGGCCACATCTCCGAGCGTTGGGTCAGACTCTGTCGCTTCCCGTGGGCGGCCGGGTCTTGAAACATGAACGGCTGCGCGTATACGCGCACGTATAAACCTTAAACCCTAAACCCAAAACAGCCCAAAGCCCTCAAAACCCTGCACCTACCTTTTCCGCCCAAACCCTCCCATGGGATCCCCTACCGGCGGCAGCGGCCGCACCAGGCACACGCGGTCACCGCCATTTCGCGAGCCGCAGGGCTCCGTCATGCAGCAGTGGTCCTTTTTTCGGGTTTCGGGCCTAGGGTCCCAAAATGAACAGGCTTGAGGGGTAGGTTGGGATCTGTCGGATCCCTAACTCCCAAACGGGTATGCAAATGGGTCCGGGGCTGGGGAGCTTTGAAGTGGGGGATTGGCGACTTTGCGGCTGAGGCTTCAGCATTCCGGAGTTTGAGGTTTCGTAAGCCCTAAACCCTAAACCCTAAACCCTAAACCGTACACCCTAAACCCAGAATTTCGGGTGTGTGGGGTGAGAGCATCTGGTGACTGCGTGCACTCCACTCTTGCGGTCCGCTCTGAGACCACCTTCTTGAAGGGAGTCCACCTGGTACAGATCGTAGGGGGTTCAGGGTTTATAAGGTTTAGGGTTTAGGGTTTAGGGTTTAGGGTTGAGGGTTGAGGGTTGAGGGTTGAGGGTTGAGGGTTGAGGGTTGAGGGTTGAGGGTTGAGGGTTGAGGGTTGAGGGTTGAGGGTTGAGGGTTGAGGGTTGAGGGTTGAGGGTTGAGGGTTGAGGGTTGAGGGGGTTTAGGGTCTTAGGGGGGGATTAAGGGGGGATTTTGGGGTTTTGGGGGGAAGTTTTGGGGGGTTTTGGGGGGGGGGGGGGAAAAAATTACTAAAAGGGGGATTCTCAGGACTTACTCATCATTCGGTGCCCCCCTCCGCTGTTATTTCAATTCCTAACATACCTTCTTCATTTTCTTCCCCCCTTCCACCTTATTCGCTTTTCAGAAGGGGCTTCTAGGGGTTATTGACCAATATTGCCCTTTTACCCACGGTTTTCAGCATTTTTTCACCAATTCATTCCACCTCATTCATTTTTCAACTCCACTCCCTAACATTCTTTCCAATATTCCTACCACCGCCCTTCATTCATTTCCCCTAATTTCCATCCTACTTTTCCAAAGCTCCCTAACAATATTCTTACCAAAGCTCCCATTGCCTGAAGTCTTTTATCCATTATAATAGGAACCGAGTAAATCAACAACATCGGCGACGACTTCTTCAAGATGGCACGCCTTGCTCGTTTGAAGGGTTTTTTCTTTTGTTAGACCGAGCTTCTGTTCTTGAAAGTCAGCAGTTGCGATGATTGTGCGACATTGACCACTTTCTTGCCGTAGCGGTTTTATCATTCAAGATGGAAGACCCAGTAGACTATGGCGATGTATATGTTCAGCTCTACGACAGCTTCATCAAAGACCAGCAGTCAGTGGCAGTTCTACGAAATCAGAGCGATGTTCTTGACAAGGTCTTTGCGTCGGGGTTCCTTTGCAGTGAAGACGACCTAGCAAACGTGATAGCCAAAGACATTGAAACATCCTTCCTCGGCAACCTTCCCGAAGACAGAGACGACGGCTTGATTCTTGAAGACTATGACATGGAGAAAGAAGCAGAAGATTGGAAGCGCTATGCCATCGAGCTTGTCCGAAGTGCTGACAGACCAACTTCAAAAGAGGAGTTTAATCAAGCAGTGTATGGATACCTGTATGCTAACTTTTGGAACTAGCAAAGGGTCTTTCCAGCGAGGCTTGAAAATGTCCTGCGTGAGCGGTTGCCTTTGTGAATTGCCGATCTCACGCTATATTTCTTGCTTCTGAACTTGTGAAAGACACTTTGAAAGCACCTTGCTTGGTTTATATAGCAGTTTCCAGTGCCCGAGCAATTCGTGAAGCTTCCTTTTGTCACACCGACAATGTCCGAGCCAGCATCCAGCAGTGGGTATGCTAACCCTACAGACATCTTTGAGGGTGTGACTTTTCCACCCACCGAAGATGTTTCCAGCAGCGGTTCCGAGGAAACGGGAAACTCAGAACCTGAAAGTGACACCGACGAGACCGAGAGCCAGAAGAGCCGGGACGATACTAACGACAAGGACTTCTTTGACAAGGGCAACGATAAGAACGACGAGGGAGGGAATGTGACGCAAACTACGTCATCTTCCCAAACCACGTCCCAGACAAAGATGACCACCTTCACGGACGCCGAGTTGGACGAGATGCTGAAGTCAATCGAGCAGAGGTTGAGTGAGTTGAAGGTTCAGGAGAACGCTATCAAGAAGGAGAAGGCAACAGTCAAGAAGGAAGTTTCCACCCGTGAGAAGGAAATTACCAAGAAGAAGAAGGACGAAGAGAAGAAGGTTGCAAGCGACAAGAAGAAGGCGGTTCGTGAAACCACCTTCCAGATAATCATCAAGCCAGTCGGCATTGATAACTTCCCGAACTCCTTTGAGATTGAGGTTGCCAACGGCGATTGCTTCCCCGACATCCGCAAGATCGGCGCCAAGAAGATGGGCATTAGCAACAAGAAGCTCAAACTGACAAGCGATGTCTTTGACCTGTCAGTCAACCCAAGGACCACGATCGGCAAGCTCTTTTGTCCGTCAGACCCGCCCCGCAAGGTCAAGGCAGGTGACACTTTCTCGCTGTCAGTCATTGCAAAGGGCGGTGCGAAGAAGCGCAGGAGCAACGACGACATCTTCTTTGACTTGCCATCCAACCACGACGTGAAGGAAACCACAGAGGAGAAAGACCTGTGGGGTAGGGTCTTCAAGTATTGCACCGAAATCACCACCAACAAGGAGTACAGCACCGTGACGATTTTGAAGACGATTGACAAGACAGCCCTCGACAAGTGCGCCAACGACCTGGTGTCAAGCAAGGCTCGTGTGTCGGACAAATTGATGAAGTTGGCAAGTGCTACACCGATGGCAAAGGAGATGCAGAAGGTGTGCGACGATATCACCTACAACCTTGAAAGGTACAAGAAGCAGCTGGCAAAGAGCATCTATGAGTCCGGAAGGATGACAGGCGACACCTTCGAAGCCGGCGTAGTGGCGGGAGCAATCAAACAGCTTGTGGCAGGTGGGACACAAAGAATAAAAAAAACATAATAGGATATGATAAAAAACATCATAGGGTATGATAAAAATCATCATAGGGTATGATAAAAATCATCATAGGGTATGATAAAAATCATCATAGGGTATGATAAAAATCATCATTTTAGACCATTCCCTTTGGAGGTGCTGATGAGACGCCAGCCTGAAAACGTGGCTCACCGTTGCTATCAAGCAGAGATTTCGCCGAAACACTGTTCATCCTGTGAGAGAGCGGTGTAGGGCGAAGACCCTGAGATTTTCGCTGAAACGCTTCTCATCTTGTGAGCGAGTGGCGTAAGGCAGAGACCTTCTCAACGTGCATTTTGCGAGATTCCGAGTGCAAACTCGCTCTGCTGTTGCTTTGTGAGGTTCTTACAGCTCCACATATCAATGACAATGTAAAAAATCCTCTTCCGTGCCAGGTTCAGAAGTCATTGTCATCCGCGACTTCTAGAAGCCACGCGCCCGCTCGGTTTTAAGATAAGGTTGTTTAGGATAGGGTTTTTAGGAAACTTCAGGAAAAGAATTAGCTCCGAAGGTTGAACAACCATCTCAGAACCGGAGCGTACAAACATCCGACTGTTTATTTAAAACAAAGCATTTAGGGTTTAGGGTTTAGGGTTATTTAGTTTAGTTTAGTGGTTCTGCACCGCCCTCAGTCCGTCTTGCATTTAGGGTTGTAGGGTTTAGGGCTTTCGGTTTAGGGCTTTCGGTTTAGTGCTTTCGGTTTAGGGCTTTCGGGTCTTTCGGTTTAGGATTTTTTTTTTTCATTTTTTATTTCGCCTTGTCAGGCGTTAGGGGTAAAAACAACGAGTTTTTCTTTACAACCTGTCGGTTGATTTTTATTCCGCCTTGCCGTAGGTTCTCACAACAAACCCTTCACGCAACCACACACGGAAAGAAAACACCAACGAAAAAACATAGGGAAAACACTGACAAAAACAAGCGGAAAAATAGAAAACATCACTTTTTAAAATACTGATTATATAGGACGGACTTTTAAACACCTACCCGAGGGAAAATCACAATAAAAAGCAACAAAAAACAAAACACCAGCGAAAAAACATTTAAAAACACTGACAAAAACAAGCGAAATAAACAAAAACAACAGTTTTTAAAATCGTATTTATAAAGGAGGTACTTTTGAAACACCAACCCGAGGGAAACGTTGCAACCTCAAACCCAAAAATCAAAAGCGCCAACCCCAACCCAAACCCAAAATCACTTAAAGAAAAGACACCTTATATTATAATGGAGTCAGGGGAGTACCGTTCAGTGTTAAATTTCTTATTTTCAGATAAACAAGCAAACATAAAACGTAAGGGTAATAAGGAATACAAAAAAGTTATTATAAATGATGTTGAATATCCATATAACAAAGAAAAGCCAATAGTTAAAAAATTGAAAACAAAACTAGAACAGGTTTACAAAACTCCACAATACAGACGCTTCAAAATCCTTGAAAAAGCTTCCAAAGGCATTTTAGTAAGAAAGGCTTTAACAAACTACGCTATTAAACAAAAAGCCACAATCACCGACGAACAATCGGCTTTAAAATCTTATGCCAACACCTACTCAATATCTAACATAAAACTTCCTCATATGAAAGGCTTATCTTATTTCATACACCAAAAGGACAAACTAAACGAATACCTTAAAAAACACAAGTCAATGAAAGTTATAGCTTTTGTTGAAATTGTTTTTGATGACATAGAAACAGAAGACGAAATAATACACTCAATAAAATCTAGACGTTACAATATATTTAATGAAGATGATTTAGTAAATGCTTTAAAGAATATGGGTAAGGATATAGAAATAACAGTAGCAGAAAAACAAATAGAAAGGTCAGGATTAAGAATTAAAAAAATTCATAAAATCACGATACATTATGATAAATACGACCCTACACGAGCAGGAAAATATTTTGACTTGCCCGAATGGATTATGAGAAAGAAGGCTTGCATCAACATAAACAACGACGATGATATGTGTTTTAGATACTGTGTCTTATGTAAGTTTTACGAAATATTCAAAAAAGACCACCCTCAACGAATGTATCATTATAAAAAATATATTGATGAAGATCATTTCATAAAATGGGATGATATGAACTATCCAGTTTGTAATGATGACATTGACCATTTTGAAGAAATAAACGGAAGAACAATATCAATAAATGTTTATACCATAGATGAAGAAAAGAAAACAATAAGACCCGACAGAATAACAACAATTTCAAAGCCAGTTTGCCACGTAAATCTTTTACGAATAGACCACGACGACGTTTTTAATCATTAGGTTTTAATAAAGGACTATTCCAGACTTATGAGTTCACAAACCAACAACCACAGAGAAAAGATATTTCATTGTATGTATTGTCAGAAAGGCTTTCAACAAGAAACGCTTTTAATAAATCATATCACGAAAGGTTGTCTAGCTAATGAAGT